TAAATAATAAGATAACTTATATAAAAATAAACTAAAAAAAGTTAAAGAAGAATTTAGTGCTATTTTAATAAAGATTCAATATAAGCTATAAACTCTAATACTATAATTCTATTCTGAATCATGCTTATAAAACCATTACAAAAAGATCCTTCATAAAATCTAATTTCTACACATCTTAAGTGAAGAAGGGTGAAGACAAAGCAGCGCACGGGCACTAAACCCAACGAATCAAAAAGAACTGGTGAACACGGACATACAACAGCCGGGATTCGCTGGTGGTCACCCACCCAACTACTAACCGGCCGGCGTGTGGCTTAAGTACGGCTGAGCGGACGGGAAGCCCTGTTTTCCACACCCTATGGTCGTATGTATTAGGTCTGCTTATGGGTACACTTATATACAGAACAAATAACACCAGGTGTGGTAGACTGGTAGTTGGTGCTTATATACACAAATATCAACCGGTCATGGTGCGCGAAGGAGACTCACCAAGGTGGCGCGCATGTTGGGATCTTATTGCTAAGTGCTATATGCTTCAGAGGATGAAAGCTGAGAGAGGGCTTTTGAGGCGAATCATCTTAGGTCAGCTTGGTATTGACTCTCATTGACTCTAATTGACTCTAATTGATCTTCATCAGGCAATAGGCAACAATGCGGATAAAGTGGCATGACACCGACGGTGCGACTGAATGAAGTCGAGCATTCTCTAAGCTGCAACACACCGAGGAATGGAATGCTCTGATAATACACCTGGCTCATTGTGACGTCTCAATGGAGCTTTGTCGGATCATCAGTTCCGCGGTCCGCTTGCCCGTTCCGGTGCGCTGACGGTTTCACCCCCGACGAACCTGAGATATAGATAGAACTGGATTAGCTGTCCGTTATGCAAGATGGGCGTAGACAAAGCAAGTAACAATAATGGGCCACAATCAGCGGTCGTCGCCGTGGGAGGCTGTCGTCTCGGGGACTGTGGCGGGCATTTTAGCGAATACCGCTGTTTACCCTCTCGATATGTATGCTACCGTCCCTTCTGAAAGGATCACCTACGAACCCTTTTCGCCTGTACCTTCTTTGTGTCTCTATTTGTCAAATTGCCTACTCTCTCTAACTTCACCGCAGCATCAAGACGAAGTTGCAAATCCAAGTTACTGAGGAGGAAATCTCAAATCCCCCTGCCGACACTGCTCTGTACGACAACATAATTGGCGCTATATCTCAAATCCTCCACGAAGAAGGCATATCTGGCCTATATCGAGGGCTGGGAAGTTCCATTATTAGTACAGCGTCTATGAACTTTGCTTATTTTTACTGGTCGATGAAAACGCGAATTTTATATCAGACAGTTCTTCAAAATCATAATCTGTGGGATTCTAATAGTATCCTCAAAGAACTTGGACTCGGTGCTCTTGGAGGCGCTATAGCCCAGTTGTGTACTAACCCCGTCACGGTAATTGTCACACGCCAGGGGACCTGCAGGACACCAGCTGAGGCAAAGTCCATGTGGTGTATCGTGAGGGAGATATTACCAAGTGAACATGGTTGGACTGGATTGTGGAAAGGTCTCAAGGTGAACTTGATTTTGTTTGTCAACTCGATGATCACGTATGGGTTTTATCAGTGGCTGCGAGCGACATTGCTGCGTTTCGGCAGGCAGATAGGCTTTGTTGATACATTTTGTACGCGCGCCCCTTCACTTCTGATGTCCAGCGCATGTCTGCCTCTTTGTGACTGACTGAATAATTTCCATTCTCAGTCCTCGGGGCCTTATCAAAAGCTTTGGCAACCATTGCCACTCACCCCCTTATAGCAGCTAAGGCTATGCTACAATCACAGCCACCGGAATGCCGGCGTGGCCAACCTTTCCGAGGGTTCACTGAGGTACTTCTTTACATCAAGCGCCACGAGGGGTTCTGGAGGCTATACAAGGGTCTAGCACCCCAGTTACTGAAGGGGCTTCTGGTTCAGGTGTTGGTGATGATGTTGAAAGAGAGGTCAGTAGATTACAGGCAATTTGTGCTCGCAAGCTGTCTAGATTGACATTGTGAGGTAGGACCGAGCTTTTCCTGATATCCATCTCCTCGCTGCGCGGAAGACGATTACAGCACATATTGGCGGCAAGACAACGGCTTTTCAGAGGTTGAAGGATGCATGGTGGTCGGCTGTTTATGAGGCTTCAGTGTATTAAATTGTTCACTGTAGGAATGAGGAATCCCTTAATATTACGGCCGTGTTCTACTATGTTTGCCAGGCTAAATGCACAATCTTAGGATGTACATCATATGAGTTCTTGTGCAACCTCCAATACCTACTTCGTACAGACTGACGATCATCAGCTGAACTCTGGAATTGTTATGATCATAATTAGTAGTATTTTGCTTGATTTCGCGATACGCTATATCAAAACGGGTTTAAGGGAGTCGGACCGACCGGACCGCTGATCGTCTACGTGAGGATCGGTCCGATATCCGTTTATTGGGGGGGCACTACTACACCTGGCGGGCACTGCTGGCGGAGCTAGCGCAAACCCCGGAACCCTTTGGGTATTATCCCCGGTTTAGACTGATCAGGAAAACCATGCCCAGTTTTAATCGTTGCCCTCTGCACGCGGCCCGAGGCCGATCCGAGTCTGGATGGAGCATACCCATCGTCTAGCTCTATATTGGAGAGCACTCTTCTGCCTGGTGAACAATGCTTAACATCAAAAATAGCAAGGAATATTTCTTGTAGCACGGACACCATGGCTTCAGACTCAAAGGTCCCATTCGCAGACCCACTGTGGCTTAATCGCACATACAGCCCATACTACAACCCGTCACACAGGCTCTTGCAAGAAGAGGTTCGCGACTACGTCGACACTCACGTTGCACCTTTCTGCGAAGACTGGGAAAAGCAAGGATTTTTCCACCAGAGATTAGCCCCTCAAGAGTCCAATGATCTTTAGAGAAGTCTCATGGCTAAAAAGTGTTACAACGACAGACCCAAAGACAACATGCCGAACTCGGCTATACTGCAGTAGCGGCCTTTCCTCTGGCAGGCGACTACATAGGCGGTCAGCGGCTCCCTGGAGATATTGATTCACGAGAATGGGATGCATTCCACGACCTTATTGTGATTGACGAACTGGCGCGCTGCGGGCATCTTGGAACTATCTGGGCGCTGGCATGTGGGAATTCCATTGGTGGACCTCCCGTCATCAACTTCGGCAACGAAGAGCAGAAATGGAGGTTCCTTCCTGACTTGCTACGCGGGAGGGTGGGATTTTGCCTGGGAGTGACGGAACCAGATGGTAGGTTGTGATTCGCCTGAGTTCATTGTCGGATTCTTATAAAGATCATCGTTTTACATAGCTGGCTCTGATGTTGCTGGAATCACCACAACCGCCAAGAGAAGGGGTAACGTATACATTGTGAATGGTGCAATGAAATGGATCACTAATGGTATCTTCGCCGATTACTGCACGGCGGCTGTGAGGACTGGAGGGGAGGGGCATCCATGGTATTTCGGCACTGGTTATCCCTCTGAAAGCGCAAGGCGTGGCATGCAAAGATTGAGAACTCTGGGGTTCATGCGAGCGGTTAGTTGTATCTGGTGTTGGCTTGTTATATTCGAGGGACTGACATCTGAGAGGGTCAACCTATATCGAATTCGATCAGGTGGAGGTTCCGGTGTCCAACATGTTGGGACAAGAGAACAAGGGTTTTCTATCATTATGAACAGTACGTTGTCCAACAGTATAGTATTTATTTAGAGGAAGCTCATGAAACTAAGACCAGATTTCAATCATGAACGACTGTGGCTAGCCTGTACAGCTCTCCGGATGGCCCGCATCTGTGCCGAAGACGCACACAAACATGCGTTGATCCTCGAAACGTTTGGTAGAAAGTTGATTGAAAATCAAGTAATCGGGTCTAAGTTCAGTGCTATGGGTCGTAATCTGGACTCCGCATACTCCTGGATGGAACAGCTGGTGTACATCTCGGAAAGGGCTCCGGGGGACGGCACGGACAAAGCGTTGGGAGGGCTGTTCGCCAACTTGAAAGTCCTTGCGGGGAGAACACTGGAAATGGTAAATCGCGAGGCGAAATGCCAGAAAGACGCAGAAGCGACGTGCAAGGTGGATGAAAATGCACTTACCACCACCCAGAATGTGGAGTGTGACCGGGAGAAGAAAGCCGCGGAGACTACACTGAGCACGTGCACGGCATCCAACGAAGAACTCCAGCGGGAGAAAGACGGAGCGCTGAGCAATTACAGCACCTGTCAAGCATCGGAGGCGCAAATATTACAACACAAGGTGGCTGCTGAGAACTACTACAATCTTACTTTGGTCCGAGCTCGAGTACGTGCATTTTCTTTGCCAGGTCTGTTCCATGGGGTTCTTAGCACGACAGAGAGTATCATGTTGCTTTGTTCAAAGTTGCGACTCCTATGGGGTTGACTCGACGTTAGTCCCCACCCCAACCTAAAGACATGGAGAGCGCATCTGCAGGAGCGTTACACACTACCATAGTGGCCCCACCGCAATTATAACCGAGTTCAGTGCCGTGGAAGTCATCGAGTCAGGCTTCATTGCCAAACTATCAAACAAAGTGCATTGTGAGATGATATTGGTACCACAAGCGCTACAATGTCCATCCAATTGAGACTCGGCCCGTATATTTCCTTTTATTTATAGACATGGGTTATTTATGAACCTGCCATCGGTATGAGGGTGGTGTGGTTTTTGGAGGATCATCTACCGGGGGACTGACTATATAGTATATATATTCCAAAACAAGCCGAGGTTTCTCAACCCATCATCCACCGGATTCCATCCACCCCAACGGCACAATATTGGTTACCAAAGGATTGGAATACCGAATACATTATCAAGCCAGATACGGAGCCTACGCGACCAAAAGTCCACTGCAATTCAACAAACAAAAATGGGCCAAAAAAAAGGGATAACAATAAATATAGTATATATACCAACCATATATATATATAGCAAAAAAGGAAACGGCCCGAGCCGCGGATCGAACGCGGGACCTCTCGCAAATGTGCTTGGGGTTATTACCCTAAGCGAGAATCATACCACTAGACCACCCGGGCAATTTGATGCAAGTTCCGGAGTTATTTAACCATATTAGGGACAGGATTGTCACTAGAGCTATGATTGGACCACCCCCAGGAGAATATGGTATCGATGGATACCAAAACGGATGTCTTCAAAGATACAGCCTACTACAAAGAATTGATGTTCTAATCTAATAATAGGCATAGTTTAGTCTGATAATGAGCAGCGTTTAAATGCTAGAGATTGAAAAGTCCACTTCTCTTTTTCCCTCGGGGATAGACGACCAGCGCGGAGAGGAATAAACCCACCGTGATGCTGAGTGCCGTTTGCACCATGCTATATCCCAAACCATACAACGAAGTTTGCACCGCCGTGGTGGAACTGTTATTCGCGGTATTCTTCTTCACGGACTCGGCATAGGCCAGCCCGGACATGATCGATCCACTGGTCGCGAGACCGGACGACACCAAGGTGAACATCCCCGGGATAATGGCTGCCGCCGCATGTCCATGCCAAAATCGAGAGTACAAGTTGGCAAGGAGCCCAATGGTGAAGGCGGAAATGGTACTGGCCAGTCTGCTATCGAGCACCTGGCTGAAGTAGTTGGTGACATATCCACTCACGCCCAGGATGACCGTAACGGGGAGTTGCTTCCATTTGGCCTGATTGAGCACCGCGGCTATGGCACAGTAGATTGCCACGAACACAAAGTGCTGGATATACTCGTTTCCATAGATATTGAGACTCGCCGACGGGCACGAAGATTCTGTCGTGGCATTGCCATCGAGGAGGCCGTAGATCGTGATGCCTACCGTGATTCCATAGCCCAGGAAGAGGGAGTAAATGATCGTATACACCAGTCGAATTGAGCCGGCCACGATCTGATGAGACTGTAACTCCAGACTGCTGCACAGGACGGAGAATCCGGGAAGGATCAGTGCAATCGAGGACTGAGTCAGGGCAGAAAAGCAGAACACGGGCGTTCCCCCGACCCGGATACTTCCGAATGCGCGGGCTAGGAACGACATCAAAACAGCGACGCTGACCTCGAAGACATTAGAGTAAACGGGTGACGCCGGGGCGAGCACATTTTGCATAAACCCGAGAAGGCAGCCGAGGACGAATATAATCGGCATATCAATGGGCCGCGCGTTGAAGGCCCAGGGCCCGACCGCGACGCTGGCCAACCCCGACATGAACACCAAGCTCCAAGCTGTATGAATGCGGCTTTTGCGGTCCATGAGCTGATTCAGCTCACCAATCGCTTGCTCGACGCTGACCCGATCGTGCACCACATTCTTGTAGATATTGTGCGTGTTCGCGAGCCGGCCCAGGTCTAGCCCTTGCACCACGGAAATCATATGGACTTCTGCCGTCCGGGTAAGTGGATCGTCGAAGGAGACGATCATGCATCCTGGCAGGTACAAGAATTGACCCTGAATCTCTAGCACATCTGCTGTCATCCGCATGTATTCTTCTAGTCGATGGGTCGGGGCACCATATTTCATCATCGCACGACACAAGAGCATGATATACCGTTGGCGAGTTAAAATGGCCGCGATGTGCTTGGTCAGTCGGATCTGTTTCGCGGGCTGTTTGCCCTTCGATCCGCCTCCATCCTCGCCTTCATACCACTTCTGCTTTCGGCGCTTCCTCTGGCCTGTCGTCGACGAGGACGGGGATTCGTCCTGAGATACGAGGGATGTAAATGTGCCTATGCTGCTCTGACTGGCATTCCGACGATGGCCCATTTGCTGCTGCAGGAGATACGAAAATACGCCCCGGTTCACGTCACGGTCATCGGGCATGCTGGATTCTGCTGGGAGCTTTCCTCCGACGCCTAGCTTCCGCACCATAAAGCGGGCCTGAGAAACCATCGAACTCTGCAGCTTTGATTGATAGGAGTTTTGATTGGATTGTCCGTCCGGCGTCATATCTAACAGCTGTATTTCTTCGGTTGCATCATACTGTTCGGGATGGAGGGGGGCATCGAGGGCATCTCCTTCATCTATGGGACGACCGAGGCGAGCGGCGAGCCGTGCACCAGATTCCCGAATCGTCCGGAAACGATTGGGGACGGAGTTCATGGAGGTTGTGGTGGCCGAACCGCGGAGGCTCGGGATGTTGTCCTCATCGTCGAATTCACTATCGGAGCGGAGGTGATGATCTTGACGAGCGGTGGCACCACGACCGGCGGCATGGTGGTGATCGTCCGAATTGTAGGGTGCCTGCGACATCTTGTGTAACTGCTGCAACCATGATTCGAAAACGCCTCAGCCTGGTCAAAGGGGTCGTAGGTTGGAGAAGAGAATTCACTGCCACAAACCCTGCCACACTCCTCCCCTGGAGAGGTGTCTGAGTGAATCAAGCAGGTAGGTCAGTGCGTCCGGGAGGGGAACGGTGAATTGGCACAAGAACCATTCTTGAGTAATGTTGGTTCGTTCGGATGAGAAGATTTCCCAGCGTGTGGAGAACATGGGGAACAAATCCGGACCTAGCGGGGCTCTGCAAAAGCGTTCAGCTGGCATCCGATGGAGAGCAATGGCAATTGGCCATGATTGGCGATATGAACCGAAGACAAGAAGCTTGTCGCTTGTTTTCCTGAACTCAGTCATCGAGTGTTTATTGAAGTTGTGGATCAATCAACAAAAAAAGTGGCTAAAAACTATCCCGATTGGGATGTTTTGCCCTAACCATCACGTAATTAGATCCAGGACCATTTTTAAAATCTCCGCTGATTGGCCACTGGCACGGTCTAGACGAGGATATAGTGGGCCTTTAGACAGACGGCCTTTTCTAATTGGTGGTTTATGCGACCGGAACCACGCCAAGCGCCAGGAACAACGGCCTCGGTTGTATAGAGATGGAGGATTCTTCAACATCATTATGATTGCAATAGTCAAATGCCGGCAGCGGATGACAAGCCTAGCAAATAAAGTAAATCACTGCATATGTCGGAAACCCTTTCCCCTTGGAAAATTCTTTGGAGGATCTAATTTATGGTTCAAAATTATACAAAAGTATGGAAGTGTAGACGTATACACTTACGTATACATCCGTATTTGCTATCCCAGTAGCTCATTTGGACTCTTTTCAAACTAGATAGGTCAACAATGCCTTCCCAGAGTCTAGATCCTCATTTTATCTTTTGTGGTCTATACGATGGCTCAGCTCGGCATTTACGGTGCGATTGTCACTCAAATCCTGGGTGGTCGTTTGACTACTGGTTGGGAATAAATAGCGAGTGATTGCCAGATGATGAGACCGTTCTATAATCTAGGAGACCAGGCCAGCTTATTTGTACTACATTGTATGTATTTAGGTCCCCGTATTCTGCTTGGTCACCTTAGACTGAAAGGAGATTCTCAATATAATCAGCCATTTTGGTGGTCAATCTAGCCGCGTTATTCATTTTTCTATTGAAGTTCCAATCATAAGCCGTGTTATTGATCTAAACCTACACAGATCTCCTACAGCGATCATCGTTAAAGGAAAATAACTTAGGACGTGTCCATAAAAGGCCATGATAGGATTCCGGTCCTGCGTTACGTTAACGGCTGCTCCAGACTATAAAATCCCTGCTTTCCACTCCGTTAAAAATTGAAAGCAGTTCTGTTGACATATAAGGCGTCCCATATGTCAGGTGGGCATCGCTTAACATCCCACAGAGTATTTATTCTTCTTCTCAGCTAGATCCCTAGATAGGAAATCAAACATCCTCACCACTCTTGCTCTGAATTTCCACCACCATACTACTCCACTGGACTTCCTCAATACGGTCCGCGATAATGGCCCACGAAACCAACCAAGTTGGGCCTCTCCCGGTACAAGCAGATGACGATGTTATGGCTCTTTTGCAGCAACTAGAGGAAATCAACTGCTTCAATGAGAATCAGAAAAACAAATGCCGAGCAGATAGCGTTCAAGACATTGACTTGGCCATCTCAACTTTCCAACGGGAGGTGCAAGCTCAGATTGACTTATTAAACGGCCTGAAGCTTGCTCACAGTATTGCTCACGCTGTGAACACGGACGGACGAGCAATTAGCGAGATCAGAAATGGAGAAACGCAAGCTGAAAACGACAGACACCTAGCTATGAGAATGAGTGGCGGCGATCCCGAGCTAGAAAATCCTCCACCGTATCGCGAAGTCAACCCTGGGTATCCGGTTCAGCAAAGAAAATCCTTGCACATCGCCATCAACCGCTTTGGTGGTAAGACTGCCATTGAACTCGAATCGGATTCTGATGAAGGTGGCCCTTCGAGGACATATGCAGAACGCCAAGAATACGGGCTTGAGAAACTATCTCGAAAGGAAGTTCAGTGCTGTGTCTGCTGTGACAGCTTTCGACCGCACGAAATAGTCCACTTGGAGTGCGGCGACGAATACTGCACTGACTGCGTCAAAAGCCTTTTCATGCGAGCCACCAAAGATCAAACACTTTTCCCTCCAAGGTGCTGCAGGCGACATATTCCCCTGCCCCTTATTTCTACAAAAATGTCCACAGAAGAGTTGGATACGTTCAAGAATGTAGAAATTGAGTTTTCAACAACAGACAGAACTTACTGCAGCAATATCCAATGTGGCAGATTCATACTTCCTACCAATATCACAGCCGACAAGGCAGAATGCAATTACTGCGGCTCCTCAACGTGTGCGATGTGCAAAAGTGCCTTTCACAATGATGATTGCCCCGAAGATACTTCGCTTAAGGCGACTTTAGACCTTGCCGCAAGCCAAGGGTGGCAGCGTTGCTTCGCATGCAAGGCTGTAGTGCAACTGGGTAGGGGATGCTACCATATAACGTGAGTTGCTTCTTTCCGCTCCTGTTTGAAGGAACCCCGGGGATGACACTGACACCATATTCAGATGCAACTGTGGAGCCCAGTTCTGCTACTTGTGTGGTCTGCGATGGAAAACCTGTCCCTGTCAACGTTGGCATGAGCACAACTTAATGACGAGAGCTGAAGAGGTCGTTGACCGTGAAGCAGTTGATCCACTGCCCGAGCAGGAGCGTCAACGCCGTGTGGTAC